CGGACAGCAGCCAGGAGCAGCAGGCGGGCCCCACTATCCCGCCCGTCCCAGCCAAGGCCCGCAGCAAGCGGCCCCGGGCCGCCCCTGGAAACTGGACCTCCCGCCTCCTGGTGGTGGCCCCAAAGGCCAAGAAGAAAGAGGTGGCGGAAGAGGGGCGCAAGTGCCTCCACTGCGCCACCGACAAGACGCCTCAGTGGCGGACGGGGCCCATGGGCCCCAAGACGCTGTGCAACGCATGCGGCGTGAGGTACAAGTCGGGCAGGCTGGTGCCCGAGTACCGGCCAGCATCGAGCCCGACGTTCGTGCTGAGCAAGCACTCCAACTCCCACCGGAAGGTGCTCGAGCTGAGAAGGCAGAAAGAGATGATGCAGCAGCAGTTGGTACACAATCATCACCATCAGGGTGTGATGTTCGATGCATCCAAGGGTGACGATTATCTGATTCGTCAGCCAGATTTCAGGCACATGATTTAGCAGCTGTTCATTTACACAGGATTCTTTTAAGTTATTTAATAGTCTATTTTGTTATATGATTAGGAGTATTGATTCCTAACTTATTTAATTATGTCCTATTTTTTTTTAGATTATCAGGATATTCAAAAGAAGAAAAAAAAAAAGATGCAAGAAAATAGAGGATAGGGACAAATTTATGTCCAATCGATTGTGCTTTTGCCGAAATATGGCAAATACCACGCAAATTTCGTCATTTTAAGAGCTTCTATTTCCATGGTTTCTGTTGCTAAGTTTTGTGTGGTAAAATTAAACAGTAATGTTTCGTTGCTCCCTTACCTACGGTGGACACATGTTAATATATTCATCGTTTATGTGGCGTTTACACATTGGTGATGTACTTGTTTGAACATATTACCATCACCAATGTATTTTTTTGAGTTTAAATATATTTTTTTTTTTATTTCTTGATAATATTATATATGTCTATGCACTACAAAAAAAATGTCATATTTCAGCGAAAAATCGGAATAATATATTCTAATGGAATACAACAGATATTTCAATGGTATAATTTCTGTTGAATGATTTCAACAAAAATTCTAACAGAATTGTTCTGTTAAAATGATTTCTCTATTTGAATTTAGATGAGTTTATCACTCCAACGACCATTATCCCAACGGTTTTTTACCGTTGGAATATACAATTTATGTTGAAATTTTTATTTCACCCATATTTCAACTATTGGAATCGTCGAAATCCGACGAAAATTTCAACGAAAAATTCATTCCAACAGAATATTGTTATTGAAATTTCCGTTGGAATTCATTCAAAAATTCCAACGGAAATAATAGCATTAGAATATCCATTGGAATTTTCGTTAAAATTTCATTGAAATATATTTTCGTTATAATTTTTCAAAAAAAATTCGTCACATTCTTGTAGTGACGTAATATCCTATGTTGCTTCCAGGCCTGTCTAAAAAATTTGCAGGTCTTGGAAACAAATTTTATCTAATTTTAACTTAACATGTAAGTTTTTCAATTTTCAATTCAAAATTCAAATTAAATTTAATTCAATTCAATTTGTCTCAATATTATTAATATAATTGCCCATTGTAAAATAAAAAAATATTTGAAAGAATATCGGGTCTTGCTCGATAATGGGTGCGGAGTTGTGGGGTCTAATCCAGAGATTAACTTTGGCTTGAGACAAGGGGCATCACATGGTTGTAGCAGAAGTCGATAACAGTAGCGTCGCAACGGTGGTGCTTCAGGACGTAGTTCCAACTGAGGTACATAGTAGCATTATTCTAGGGGTTCGGGAATTGTTGGCAAGGGAATGAAGAGTGGAGGTTCGACATATTTATAGGGAAGAAAATTTTGTACCAAACTATCTTGCGTCAATGGCCTCGACCATGTCGAGTGGGCTTCACATTCTTGAGGACCCTCCCACGGGGTAAAACTGTGGTTAGAGCACGACATTTTAAGAGTTTCTTACCCGCGTAATGTAGTCACTCAAGGTACTCACCTCCTATTTTGCACAAAAAAAAAGTTCATAAAGAAAAGTTTGACTTTGTTGTGTATGCGTTGATCAGGGAATACATTATATTATTTTATTATATCCTCCTTATATATTATTCCCGAATATACTGAGTCTATGTGGCTGGTTCTGGTGCTTCAGAATCCTACTTGGCAAAGAATCATGCTTCGTAATTAGGTTTGGAAAAATAATATTCATATATTAATAATTAATAATTTAGGTTGGGACATTCTAAAAATTATTTTACCTAACTTAGGTATTTTAATATCAGTTGCACTAATATAACCCTTTATTTCTTTGTAATTTTACATAGTGAGACACTAAGTGACTAATATATCCATGACTTTTGATTTGTTTCCTTCTATTAGCTATTGAATTATAAATATATTTTAAAAGTTGATAACTTTTGTATTTATTATCGATTTTACATATATAATATATCAAATTAATCATCTTTTGATGATCTTCGATTTTACATCCATATTGTATATATGAAATAAATAAATTATATTTATCTTTATAATGATAAAAAATAATAATATTTATTAAAACTCATTAGAAAAATAAAATTATTTCTCAATTGATATATTTATGTTTACTGTAGTTATATGTTGTAAGTTAAAAAAATTATTATAATATAACACATGTAAGTTACACAAATAAAAAGTGTCATACTAAATGTATAATAATATATATTTTTATAAAAGGTATTTAAATTTTCAACTACTTTTTCTCATTAATTTTAGATTTTAAGAAAAAAAATAGCAAGCACCCGTGTAATACACGGGCGTTGTACTAGTATATATATATTAATCCAGAACGCGCTGAGCCTACGTGGCTACTTCTGGTGGTTCGAAATCCTATGTGGCAAAATTACGTGCTTCGTTATTAGGCTTGGGTAAATTTTAATTTAATTCCAAACAAAAAATAATTATGTTCGGATTACCATAAATATGTTGATTATTTATGGTCATGTTACATGTAGTAATTGCATTTTAATATCATTCTTTATTATAACTATTGAGTTGTATATATTTTTTAAAAATTAATAACTTTTGTATTTTTTTTATCAGTTTTACATATGTAATATATCAAATTAATCTTCTTTTGATGAGCTTCGATTTAACATCCATATTGTATGTACAAAAAAAATAATTTATATTTATCTTTATAATAATAATAAAATCATTTTTAATATTAATTAGAAAAATAAAATTATTTATCAACTAATATATTTATATTTCAAGTAGTTATATGATATAAGTTATAAAAACTAATGTAATATAACACATGTAAGTCATAGTAACACATATCATTCTAGAATATATAGTAATATATATTTTTTAAAAAAAAAAGTAAAATTAATTTAATATAGTTTTCTCATTAATTTTAAAATTTAAGAATATTTTTTTAACAAACACCCGTGTAATATACGGGTGTTGTACTAGTTTGCAAGTAATACAAAAAAACTAGTTTGGTCTCAATTATTTGAGCAACATATCAATATTTAAATAAATTAAAATGGAAAAACTACTTAAGAAATAATTTTACTTGTATAATTTAAATCCATTTGAAAATATAATTATATATTCATATTCATATATACATGCTATATGTAATACTACACAGATTTGCAATATAGCCAGAATGACAGACCTGAATATCTTAAACCAAGACAAAGCTAGCTTTTATAGGCATTCAAATTTCCAGTTGCACTTTCTTGTTTCAATTTCATAATTTGGATAAGCATATTGACGAAATAATATTATGAGAATATGCTACAGTTCCGTTATAGAACCATTTCGTTAGGGTTTGTAACCGTTAAATCATTATGAAATTGTCGGGGATAGTTGATCTAACGGTTACAAACTCCGACGGAATGATTTCCAAACGTAACTGTAGCATTTTGCACGACCGATCCTATTCGCGAACTTAAACTTATATTACTGCAGTACATAGGTCCATCCATATCAATCCTTAAATTCTTTCAACCTTGAAAAAGAGATTTCATACTTGCGTCAATTTGATGTTTGTTCATGCCCTACTGAAATTAGCGATCTTTGGGAACAATAATATTTGCATGCATTTATTTCACAAACTACCACTCCATACATGTCGGTAGCGTCGGTATATATCATCAATAACATATTGCAAATTTCAAATTCACTAATTGATGATATATACTTTTGTGGGTGCAAAGTTTGTGTCTGCATGTAGCTAACATATACTAAAATTTTCCTTGATGGATGGAACATTCAGAATAACTCGGTGAACCGAATAGAAGGGTTGGCCCGGTCGTGGACAGTTAGAGAGCTCAATCTGATTTAGTACTTACATCTCATAACAAGCCCCACGTAGGCGGCTCAGGGTCAAAGATAACACAATTCAGGTAGCTCGGAAGTTGGTAGACGGAGGAACTTCGGATACCGAATAGACCCAAGTAGCTAAGAGGTCAGGAGACCTAAGGAGCTAAGATACAAGAGAAAACTCATGACCTGCAGGTCAGTGGGGTTGAGGTCGTTGTTACGACCTGGATAAGACTTGTGACTGGTAGGTGCAGAGGTCGGGTTTATGACTCTAAAACTTAGGAGTCTTACAGCAGGAGAGGAAGAAATCCTTCATGGATGGGAAGTATATATTGCTAGACTCCTAGATTCATGAAATCTTGCTCGTTAGGAAAATGGATACGAGAGGATTTTTTTTCTAACTATGACTCTCTTGCCATCAAATTACTATAAGTACATAAGGGTATCCATGTTCTTTACTTTACACATCACACATATGTGCACAAGAACTTACATACATACTCTCGATTTGATCATGAACATACACTGACTTGAGCATCGAAGACTTTTCTGGAGTGGCCCTCCCGGCGTATTGCAGGTCATTAAGCTCCGGGCTAGTGTTGGTTCGTGGTTCAGAGTTCAACCGGTTAGAGGCAATTTGAATATCAAATTTGCAGCGTCTTTGGGAAACACTCCAGTCTTTTTACCCACTATAACAGCTAATCAGTTTTTCTCTCACACAAAATTCAAAGAAGTTTGAAGATCATAGCAGACGATAATTCTAAGAAGAAATTGACACAAGAGTTGGACGAAGCATAGACAAGATGAGCATTTGGAACTGGCCCTCCCTTAGGCTATTTGTAGTCTACCGGCATGCTCGTCACGCCGCGAGAGACGTTGTCGGCACACCATATGACATTAATACCACTATCAGGTACATCAGGGAGACCTACGGCAGAGCAAGGAACACTCACCAACCAGCAGAAGACAGGAGGACAAGATGTTTTAAACCAAAGGCCCAAGAAAAAGAAGGACACCAATAGGAAGGCCCGGGGGACAACCGCGACCTCAAGAGCAGGCAGGAGGCCAACTAGTGGACCCGAGGGAACAAGAGATCCTCAGGGAAGATCAGATCCATCTTACCAGGGCGGAGTTTGATAGATGTTAGTGTTTATATTAAAAGATTGGTCTTTTGTG